AAAAAAAAAAAAAATTGAAAGGTAGCTGGGCGTGGTAGCGCGTTCCTGTAGTTCCAGCTACTTGGAAGACTGAGCTGGAAGGCTGAGGCGGAAGGATCGCCGGAGTCCAGCAGGTCGAGGCTGTGGTGAACGGGAGCAGCCACTGCACTCCAGTCTGGGTGACAGAGTGAGACTCCAACTCAAAAAAAAAAAATTGGTTAGTGATACCTCTTATGAGCAGTTATCTAGTAGGTGGTTTACATGTATTTGTCAGATATATGCTATTCTTAGTGTAGTCCAGTCTCTTGTTTTCTGTTTGTTTTTAAAAAAAGATAAACTAGCAGACTAGAACTAGAACCAGAGTTTGCAACTCTTGGTCTGTTCTAGTATTCTCTGATTTACCAAGATGAATGTGTGCTACTAAAGACCTTCTGGCATTACACTAGAAAAAACTAGAGGAATTTCTAACCTGTGCCTCTAGACTGTTTAGGAAAGTGTCACATGGAGCTTTGGCCTGGAAATGAGTTTTGTTGTATTTATTCTGGCTTAAGAAATTTGTTAGGAAATAGGTACCTGTTTGTTTGTTTTTTCCCGCTCTCTGTTGCTTCTCTTAATTTTGGATTTTGGCTTCCTTTTTTTTTAAAAGAAAGCAGGATTTATTGAAAGAACAGAAAAGCTCCCACAGTGGAAATGAGCCCGAAGGAGTTGCCCTGGTTTCCTTTATTTAAATTAAAACAGAAGTATATAAGTTTTCTTTCTGTGTTTATAGTACTTAGCCATATTCTGGGCTTATTTAATAAGCACCCAATAAAGTCATGCTGATTTTTGTGGTTATAAATGATCCTGACTTTGAGTCAATATAAAACAGTGAGAGGTTCACAGAACTGAATTGCAGCATTCTCTGGTTGGGTGGTCGGCCCTCAGCTAAAATGTTAGGGTGGAAACTATCATCACAACTAGAAGCAGTTAACCAGAAGCTGTTCCTGCCTCTCCTCCTCCAGTCTGGCCATGTGCTGTCCTTGGAAAGCTGCTGCTAGCTCTACTCTTTCACTTCTTTTCAGAATTGACTATATCTAGATCCTTGAAGAGCCTTTTCTTTTTCTGTCCCTAGAAGCCTCCAAGTTACAGGGACCATCCTCAGGGTGACCTTTACAGGCAGTGTGTTTGTTTTATGTGGTCATCCTCATTTGCCACATGGCCATCATACTCAACTTGATGTCTTCCCTTACTATTTATGAATCATTTTTATTTTCCCCAACTTACCCTCTTATCCTGTCTGCCCCACCAAAAATGATCTATCCCATGAATTTTTTTATTTTTTTTATTTTTTGAGTTGGAGTCTTACTCTGTCGCCCAGACTGGAGTGCAGTGGCTGCTCCCGGCCACCGCAGCCTTGACCTGCTGGGCTCCGGCGATCCTTCCGCCTCAGCCTTCTGAGTAGCTGGAACTACAGGCATGTGCTACCACGCCCGGCTGATTTTTTGATTTATTGTAGAGATGAGGTCTCGCTGCCCAGGCGGGTCTCGAACCCGCGGGCTCAGGCAATTCACTCACCTCAGCCTCCCAAAGGCGCGGGATTACAGGCTGAGCCACCGAGCCCGGCTATGAATTTTTTTTTAAAAGACTTTGTGCTGTCAGAGTTCCAAGTTCATCGCAAATCTGATTATATGTATGATTATAGGAATAACGTGTTAATGGACACTCCTTCCTTTCTCAGGTAACATGCATTTCACAGTGGCCTTCTGGAGACAACGCCTTAACCCAAATAAGTGACTCAAACTGTGAGAACTTCAGGTATGTTGATATTCTTGTGAGAGAGATTCCGGGGCAGAAGTGGTGCACAGGGCAAGTCGCGGTCATATAACTGTTGTGGGGAAGTGTGGGGAGGGAGCAGTGCTGTTACTGGCTACATCCGTTGGTTGAAGAAACAGTTTCCACATGAATCTGAAACCCAAAGCCCCGTCTGCATGTCTGTGAGCTAGCTACACTGTGTACTTCATTTGGGCCCTCTGACTTTTCTGTTTTTATAGTTCCCTTATACATACACATACTTTTTTCTACTTGAGCTGTTGTTTCTGTATACTTGTCTGGACATGTATATGGTCAAGAAGTGGGGGAATGAGAAGGCAACATTGTGCAGTAGAAAAAGTTAGAGAATTTGGAAAGAAGAGGTCTGGGTTTTGTTTTTTGTTTTTTTTAGATTGGAAAATATAGTTTATTTAGAAAGTAAATTAGCGAGAGAGAAGAGAGGAGTTTTACCTCCCCAAGTTTCAGGTCTGCTTGTTTTTTTTATTTTGAGTTGGAGTCTCACTCTGTCGCCTTGGCTGGAGTGTAGTGGCACACTCATGGCCACTGAAGCCTTGACCTGCTGGGCTTAGGCGATCCTTCCCCTCAGCCTTCCAAGTAGCTGGAACTGCAGGTGTGTGCCACTACACCCGGCTCATTTTTTTTTTTTACTGTAGACATGAGGTCTCACCAAGTTGCCCAGGCTGGTCTCGAACCCTGGGTTCAGGCAATCCTCTTGCTTTGGCCTCCCAAAGTGCTGGGATTACAGGCTTGAACACCACGCCTGGCCTTTTTTTTTTAGTTGGAATCTCTAACTAAATCACTGTACTCGGCCAGGCTGGAGTACAGTGGCACACTCACAGTCTCGACCTGCTGAGCTTGGGCGATCCTCTTTCCTCAGCCATCTAAGTAGCTGGAACTACAGGTGCACACCACCACATCCAACGAATTTTTTTATTTATTGTAGAGATGATGTCTCGCCAAGTTGTCTAGGCTGGTCTTGAACTGGTGGGCTCAGACACTCCTCTCATGTTGGCCTCCCAAAGTGCTGGGATTACAGGTGTGAGCTGCTGTGCCAGGCAAGCTTTCATTTCTTTAATGGTGATATAATACCTCACAAAAAGTTATGTACAGGGAAAGAATCTTTTCCATGCCACTTGTCTTTAAAATGTTCCTGAATGTATAGATTTTATCCTGAGCTTACAAAGCAGTTCTTTGTGAAAAGCTACTTGGCCAACATTAAGGAGATATGGGTTCTAGCCTTGGTATTGCTGGTAGCTTAAATTCTGTGATCTTGGGCAACACACTTAAATTTCTCTGGACCTTATTTCCTCACTTTTCTACTAAATATTTTAAATACGATCTCTGAGGTTCTCTAACTCACTCTGCGATTTTATATTTTGTGCTGTGTGTGCTGACTTGGTAATTGTCAGGGTTTTGTTGACATCACAATATAGGACTGATTTCAGAAATATCTTTTGCTAAACCTCATAATGTCTAGTGCTTTATAAGTGAGAAGACTTGTTATTTTAAGTTCTACTTTATTTAATTTTATTAAAAAAATTTTTTTTGAGTTGGAGTCTGACTCTGTCGCCCAGGCTAGAGTGCAGTGTCACTTTCACGGCCACCTCAGCCTTGACCTGCTGGGCTCAGGCAACCCTTCCGTCTCAGCCTTCCAAGTGGCTGGGATTACAGGTGTGTGCCACCACACCCAGCTAATTATTTGATTTACTGTAGACATGAGGTCTCACCTAGTTGCCCAGGTTGGTCTCGAACTTGTGGGCTCAGGCAGTCCTCTCACCTCAGCCTCCCAAAGTGCTGGGATTATAGGCGTGAGCCACTGTGCCTAGCTATTTATTTATTTATTTTTTGAGGCGGAGTTTCACTGTCATCCAGACTGGGGTGCAGTGGCACGCTCATGGCCACCTCTGTCTCACCCTACTGGGCTCAGACGATCCTTTTACTTCAGCCTTCCAAGTAGCTGGAACTACAGGTGCGTGCCACCATGCCCAGCTAATTTTTTTGTTTATTGTAGAGACAGGAGCTTGCCATGTTGCCCAGGCTGGTCTTGAGCCCCTGGGTTCAGGCAATCCTTTTGCCTTTGTTTCCCAAAGTGCTGGGATTGCAGGCGTGAGCCACCATGCCTAGACTTAAGTTCTACTTTAAACACTGGCACAAAGAGACCTGTGGGAAACCTAAACATGGAAGTGTTAAGTTTGTAATATTCAACAAGCATTTATTGAGCTGCTATTGTGTTGGGTTCCAAGGGGAACTCAAATATGAACAACTGCTTGAAGAATTTTGTGGGGTTTTTTTTTGTCAGGAAAACAAACTTGCTGACTGGCAATTACTGTAAAAAGTAAGATGATAAATGCTGTACACTAAGGGTTGTATCGTGTTGCAGTTTAAGAAATTAGCTTCAGATTTCTTGGTTTCTTTAACATAATTGAATATATTCTTTTTATTTTTTGAGTTGGAGTCTCTCTCCACTGCCCAGACTGGAGCGCAGTGGCATGCTCATGGCCACCCCACTGTCAACTGCTGGGCTCAGGCAATCCTTCTGCCTCAGCCTTCCAAGTAGCCAGAACTATAGCCGTGTGCTACCATGCCTGGCTAATTTTTTGATTTGTTGTAGAGATAAGGTCTCACCAAGTTGCCTAGGCTATTCTCAAACCCATAGGCTCAGGCAATCCCCTCACCTCGGCCTCCCAAAATGCTGGGATTACAGACTTGAGCCTCTGTGCCTGGCCGTAATTGAATATATTCTAAGTGCTGCTATGTGCTAGGCATTGCAGAGACTCATGATGAAAAAGTCTTTCTCCTCAGGAAACTTGCAGTTTATTTTTATGCCTGTAAACTGTTTATTCTAATACTATAGATATGTCCTTCTACCCCAGGAAAGAGAATATACTATATCATCAATTTATAGGTTAAGAATTCTTTTGCATATTAAGCTGAGCTCATTCCAGAAATGTCTAATAACATGCTTTCTTTCTGTGAAAATATATATTATTTTACTGGATTCCACAACTTTTGTCAGTTATAAGATAACTTTTTTTGTAAGGCAAGAAAAGCTCCAAAAATGCCTTCTACTTTGAGGTGAACTTTGATTTGCTTCTTAGTCATTCATGCAAGGGAAGAGTAGTTGCTACAACTTTGTCTTTGGAACAAAGAATCTATTCAGAGGAGAGGATTCTAGTCTAAAGGATTTTATTATAGGGATTAACGTTAACCAGAGTTAGGTTGATTTTGAATTTTGTCTCTACCATGTACTGGCAGTATGACCTTGCCCAAGTACTTAACTTCTTTGTGTTTTCTCAACTGTAAATTCGGAATTGTAATAGCATGTATCTATAGGGAGCGTATAGCCATAGGGATAGTGTGTTCTACTTGAACAAGATTTGGCTCACAGTAAGCATGAAGTGTTAACTGTTATTGTTGTTTTCATTATCATTATTATCACCAAGATTGTCTTTCTTAAAATTAGGATCATTAATTCATTCAGAACGGTCATCTAAGATGAGCTTTGTAAATTTAGATGCCTACAAGGACCAGATGAACATTTAGTCAGTAATGATAGATAGAATTGGGACTTAAGTGAAACAGGGAATTCATGTCTTTCCAAGGGAGCAGCTGTTAAAGCAGCTTTGGCTCACTGTTTTTTGTTTGTTTTTTGTTTTTTTGAGTTGGAATCTCACTGCCACCCAGACTGGAGTGCAGTGGCCGCTCCTGGCCACCGCAGCCTCGACCTGCTGGGCTCCGGCGATCCTTCCGCCTCAGCCTTCCGAGTAGCTGGAACTACAGGCGCGCACTACCATACCCTGCTAATTTTTTGATTTGTTGTAGAGATGAGGTCTTGCCAAGTTGCCCAGGTGGGTCTTGA